CCCCAAAACCCCAAAACCCCAAAACCCCGCCTGAGGAAAATTGTAAGTTTTAACAGATTCATAAATTATATATCCTAAATGAATGAAATATTTTTCCCTGAAATGAGTGAATCATATTAACTTAATTACACATATTTAGAAATTTAAACATATATTACTATTAATTATGGGAGCCTCTGACTCAAGACACAATTTCCAGCATGGGCATTTATATGTCTAGCTCTATAAAACCACATACAATGCTGGAGAAACAATGCAAGGCGTTGTCCATCTCTCCCTCTCTCAGCAATTCCCAACTAAAGTGCTATAATTGGAATTCTCAGGCTATGAGAAGACATTCTGGATTACAAAGGAAAGACAAGGCAGATCTACTGTCAAGAAAAAGCACAATGGATTAAAGAAATTATTTTCAACTAGAACCAACATGTTTGCATTCCCTCAAGGCACCGCTCAGCCAGGCCAATACTCTTTCCCTTTTGTCTTTCAGATTCCTCTAGGATGCCCATCAACATTTGTATTCTTCGGCGAGCATAAGTCTAAGATGGCAGTATCATATAAAGTGAGAGCAATCATGGAGGAAAGATGCGATGGTACCAAAGCGTAATTTAAGCCACTAATGTACAAGCAAAAATTCATAGTCAGAAAGATACCAGACGTTCTTCATCCTAACAAGAAAATTAAGTTAGAAAAAAATATTAGCACCTTCCTTTTTGTTAAGCAAGGTAATTCAAAGGCAGAGGTGACATTTGAAAAAGATGTATTTGTTTCTGGCGAAACTGCAAGAGTAACTTGTGATGTTGATAATACTGCCTGTGAAAAAGATATTGAAAAGGTTAAGGTCAAGTTGAGAAGAATTCTAAACTTTAAGGACTAAAAAAATAAAACCTTCAGCAGTAACAATTTCCTCTCTATAGCTAAATACCCTGGAGTTAAAGCTGGAGAAAAGAAGCTTTTAAATCTAGAACTCAGAATAACATAAAACTTTGAAGAAATCAAGAACTATGGTCAATTGTATGTTCACAAAAGAAAGAAGGCATTGACAAGAGAAGATAATAACATCATTAACTATGTTTTGCCTACCACAATGGGTGAGTTCGTCAAATGCTCCTATCAACTGGAAGTTAGCTTTACACATAAAGGTGCCACTCTAGGAAGCAAGATTCCTTCAGCTAAACTACAAGTTTTAATTAACGCCCCTTACTTTGAATTGCATTCTGCCCCCATTCCAGCACCTTAAAATTGGAATCCATAGGTGTATCAGCCAAATCTTATGCAAGGTGGAGATTTTTCAGTTGGTATGCCAGTTCAATAATAAATCCCTATGGGATACGGAGCACCTATCATGGATCATTAGCCAGAAGCATTCATATAAAACGGTCACATGTCAGCCAGAAATCCAATAACCAGTGGATAAATGTAGATGTCAAATGGATTTGAGGAGCAGAAGAGATCTCAGGATGATGAGAAAATTCAAGCCAAGTAGGCATTCGAATAACATTAAAATTAAATCTAAAAGCAGGAGCACCAACCATAGCCATTGTAAAAACAGAACAGTGATAACTAGGCCTATGGCTTTAACCCACAAGATTATTCTTGAAGCAAGACTCAAGTAATATCAAACTTTGGAGTTGGCTTTAATAAGTACCTATATTTAACCTATCAATCCATCCAATTTAAATCGAATAACATATAATTGAATACTATAATAATTTAGAACATTCACAATCTTTATCCTATGGGGTTTTGGGGTTTTGGGGTTTTGGGGTTTTGGGG